AAAAAAAAAAAGACATTGTTTTTTGTTTATTTGGTACCAGGGATCGAACTTGGAACCTTGCACTTGCCAGGCAGGAATAGGAACCACTGAGCTAAATCCCCAGCCCTCAAAGACAATGTTTTAGCTTTTACACTTAAGTCTGTGTTCCACTTCAAGTCAATTTTTATGTGTTGAATAAGGAGTTAAGATTGAATTTTTTCTATATGGATATCAAATAGTTCCAGTAAAATTTTGTTGAAACAATTTTCTTTTCCCCCTTGATGTGACTTTGCACCTTGTTCAAAAAACAATTGACTTGGGCTGGGGATCTAGCTCAGTGGTGCTGCTGCCTGCCTCGAAAGCGCAAGGTCCTGAGTTCGATCCCCGGTAATCAAAAAAAAAAATTGACTTATCCACCTACTTCTACTATACATATATATACACACATTTACAATGACCTATTTATACATCTTATATATGTACTACACTTTATAGATTATTGTCATTTTATAGTAAGTTTTGAAGCTAGATAGTACTATAAGCTAGATAGTACTATACGTACTACACTTTCTTGATTATTGTCATTTTATAGTAAGTTTTGAAGCTAGATAGTACTATATGATCTCCAGGTTTGTTCCTCCCTTTTAAGATGGACTAGAATATTCTATGTCCTTGTTGTTTCCACATAATTTTAGAATCAGCTTGTCAGTATCTATTTAAAAGAGCTTTGAGAACTGGGTGTGGTAGTACATGCCTGGAATGCTACTACTCAGAAGGTTAAAGCAGGAGGATCATGAATTCAAACCCAGCCTGGGCTACATAGGAAGTTCAAAGCCAGCCTAAACTACTCGCTACACACTGTTTTCATAAATAAATAATAAATAAAATAGCTTTAGGGATTAAGATGGTGATTATATTAAATCTGAAATACTGCAGAGAACAGAAGAGTAATTCTGAGGAGACAAAGGAGAAAAGGAAAATGAGTACAAAATGAAACAAATATTCAAAATTCCATTAAATTTAATAATAGGAAGGTCACTGGTGCATTCATACGGTAGCTTCATTGACTTGATTGGAAAAAAAAAAAAAGACTCACTTAACTATCATTTTACCCTTTCACTTTCTTCCTCTTCTTTTGTGGTACTGGGGACTACCACTAAACTATATCTCCACCTCTTTTTATTTTTTGAGAAAGGGTCTTGCTGAATTTCCCAGGCTAGCCTTGAACTCACCACTCATCCAGCCTCAGTCCCCTGAGCAGCTCGGACTATAAGTGTCCACCATCACTCCCAGATCAGGTCACCCTTCCATTCTTATTAATAAAACCTAAATTACAGCTGAGCGTACAGATAACTGGATAAAGTCTACATCACCTTTTTTCCCTTCTGGTTAAGTGTGGTCACTGACTAAGATGTGACTAATTGAATATAAGTGACTATCATGTGCAACTTCTGAGAAGTATCTTTAAACAATATGTGCCATGGGCCGAGGATTTAGCTCAGTGGTTCCACTGCCTGCTGCGCAAGCGCAAGGACCCAAGTTCAATTCCCGATACTAAAAAAAAAAAAAGAATATGTGCCTTTCTTCATTCTTCCCTCTTCTCCCTTCTAGAATGAGCAAGTGCCAGTGGAATTAAAGCAGTCATCACACTAAGGATGGCACAGTAGCAAGAGAGAAGAATCAAAGTCCCTGATGATGGAGCTGCTCTTATACCAACCATGTTACTACTTACCTATGCAAATACATGCACGTATAACCACTGCTATCTTATGTTTCCCATGTAATACAGCAAAATCTAATCCTGATCCACCTGAGCAGTAAATGTCTATATACCATTAGTTCTAGAGTACCTCTAGCAACAATGTTCTACTCATCTATTCAACTTCTACCTTTTCAACAAAACATTTCCACTTGGATATGCAGTAGGGCTGTTAAATGTCCAAAATAGAACTCTTCATTTTTTTCTCCTCAAACCCTTCTTCCAATCATGTTCTTCACCACCATCAACCAAATAGTAAATAATTATAAAATAATCACTGCCTGCTGCACAAGCACAAGGACGGGAGTTTGATCCCCGGTACCAAAAAAAAAAAATCTTTCCTAGGTAGATGAAAAAGTTCTAGAGATGGACAGTAGTGATGGACAATAGTGTGAATGTCATTGAATGATACACCTAAAAAGGATTAAATGGTAAAAAAGGATTGTGGATATTGTACTACAACAAAGTAAGCAAAAGAGAAACCTTTCCTAGAGATAATAGTCATGTATTTTTTTTCCTAAAAATCTTGCAAATGTGTCTTTTACATTAAAGTCTGTAATTCATCTGGGAATTGTTGTGAATGATATGAAGTAGGAATCTCATTTTGTTTTTATTTCAAATGGATGAAATGCATCTCAGCGTCATTTATTGAAAAGTCTATTTTTTTCTCCTTGCTTTGGAATACCCCTTAGTGGTATACAAAGCTTCCATACATACATAGCTACGTTTCTAGATGCTCTACTCTGTTCTATGGATTTATTTTTCTATCTCTAAATCAATATCATACTTTTTTTTTTGAGACAAGGTCTCCCTATGTAGCTCATGCTGGCCTCAAATTCATAATCCTCCTGCCTCAGCCTCACAAATGCTATGCTTACGATCAGGTGCCATGCCTGCCCACACTGTCTTATTACACCTTTATATTAAGCTTCCATACTGGGTAGGGAAGAACCATATTTAATTTCCTTCTTCAAAACTGACTTAGCCGCCAGGTATGGCAGTACATGCCTATAATCCCAGAACTTGTGAGTCAGGAAGATTGCTGCAGTTTGAGGCCTGAGCTACACAGTAAGTTCAAGGTCAATATGAACCAAAAAACAAAACAACAAAAACCTGACTTAGCTATTCTTGGTTCTTTGGCTTTTTTTTTTTAAAAAAAACAAACAGGGTCCCATTACATTGCCCAAGCTGTCCTCAAATTTACAAGCCTCCCGCCTCAGGATCCTGAGTAGCTGGGACTAAAGTGTGCACCACTGCACCCAGCTGTCCTGTGGTTTTCCATATAAATTTTTGGTTTAGTATGTCAAGTTGCAGAAAAAAGCATACAGTGATGTTCATCAGTACTGCACTAAATTTATTGCATTGGGGAAACCTGTCATCTTTTTGATATTGAGTCTTCCCATTCATGAATGTTCTGTATCTCTTCATTTACTGGGTCTTCTTTGACGTGTTTCAATATATCACTGTAACTTTCTCCCTATAGAACTACATAACTTTAGTCTGATCCATTTCTAGATACCTTTAGTTTTGAATGTCATTATGAATAGTATCTTATTATTAAAATTTCTGGTTAATTACTGCTGGTATATGGAAGTTTTTTTACTAAGAAATCTTCCTGAACTGAAGGCCATTTCTGATACCTTCTAAGCGAAGTAATCCTTTTCACTACCAAATCAACATTTCCTATCTTCCTGTTAATTGGTTTTAGTGTCTCTTGGCCCCCACTAAAATTAGTTCATCATTGCATCCCAAGTGTCTAGGAATAGTACACAGAACATAGCAAGTGCACAAAATATTTGCTGAATAAGTGGGTGGTGGCTTTTTTTTTTCTTCTGTATGTTTATTCTCATCCAAACATGAGTTACGAAAGAAAAAAAGGACAACTTTGTAGGTTAGTCAGGGAAAGCTTTTGAAGCAGACAAGATATAGCAGGGAGGAGGCAGAGAAAGATACGGCATCACAGGCAAGGTTCTGAGCAGCAGCAAGACAAATTAACACCACCCTCTAAAGATTGACTTGGCAGTGAAAAACCAGCCCCGGTACTGAGGGAGCATCTCCTTGAAGGGCAAGTCCACTTGTACCTGCACAACTGGAACAGCACCGGGCTGCCTCCTTTCGTGCACTGACCCAAAGAGCGGCACAGATATGAGGAAGTATATCTGGATAATCTTGAGAAACACAGGAAGAAAAGCAGGTTTAGGAGTGAGCGTGAGAGATTGAAAATAAAATCAATTTGAGAGGTGGAGCTAAGATTAATCACTGGTCGTTAAAGTGCAGGTATCAGCCCAGAACCTGGCACTCAGGAGTGAGTTCAAGATGAAGCAACTCATGAGATAGTGGACTGATTCTCAAGGAGGAAAATGTAGGCAAGAAAGGAAAAAAGCAAAGAAAGGGTACTTGGGAATAAATGAACATGGAAGCAAACTTTCAAACGTGGGAAAGGATATGGAAAGCAACTGGAGGAAAAGATGCAAGGGAAAGGAAAAGAGACAAACTAGGTTCTTAAGAGATCACACAACCAGCTATGGTGACCCATACCTGCAATCCCATCAGTCTGGGAGGTTGAGGCAGAAAGAACGCAAATTGAAGTCAACTTGGCCCAATATTCCATTCCCAGTGTGACCCAAAAAAGAGAGAGAGAGAAGAAAAGGAAGAGGAGGAAAAGAAGAAAAAGAGGAGGATACGGCGGGAGTCACACGAACACACGAAGCAAAAAAGCAACATAAGCTTAATTGTGAAAGTACAATTCAACCTATGGAACGGAAAGCAAGACCTCAACTGGTAAAAACAGACCTTGATTAGACTACAGAGCAGAATTTGGGAAAAGGAATTAACTTTAAAATTTCCTGGAGTCTCACTTTAAAATGATTTCTGGGTTTAGAGACCTCTCGGCGTTCTATTCAAATTCCATGGCCAGAAAGAGATGAGAAGCTGTGGTCTAGAAGGCCCAGGTGTGACGGATGAGGCTGTTTCCTCCTCCTCATCTCTTCCTGACTACCCAGCCGGGCTGATGCGCCCGCCGGCAGGTCCTCTGCCCTGGGCCTGGATAACCACCGGAGAAGTGCAGCAAACCAGAGAAAAACCAGGTGCCTGACGAGGGCAGGAGAGAGGCCCTTCCACCCGCGCCAGGTCAGCGGGTCACTCTGGGACCGCGCGCCCACACAGGAGCTCTCCGCTCAGGTCACCTCCCACGCCATTCCCCCGCCGCGCTCAGCAGCGCCGACTCCCTCCTTAGCCCCTCGAGCCCTCCTTCCTTTCCTACCTGCCGGGGCGCGGACTCGGCCTGCCCTCAACCGCTCCCAGGGGACCCCACCAGCAGGGAAGCCCACGCCTCTCCGCGGCTCCCAGCCTGCACCCTCGGGGTGGGCCGCTGGCTGCACGTGACTCCGCCCCTGCACAGCTCGCCCCGCCCGTTCCCCGCCTCTCGTCGATACGTTTCACCTGCAGGAACGGCCTTGACGTGATGACGTAGGTACACAGGCGTATTTTGTCGGCGACGCCGAGGCGATCTGCTTGTGTGGGTGGAGGTGTGTGGTAATCCAGGGAGTGGAGAAAGTGGGGTGCGTGGAAAACGGCGGGGTCAGGAGTAAAGAAGGGCAAGAGAGGAAAAGGGCCAGGGCCTGTTTTCCGGCTGCTGGGTTACAGGGCTGTGTCCCGCGACCTCTCCAGGCCTCTTGGGGCGAGGCTGGGCGGCTTTCCCGCACTAGTGTAGTGTGAACTTCCCATGGGAGGTATTCTGCTCCCAGGTGTGAAGGTAGAAGGTTTAATTTGGGTTACGCTGGGCAGTGACCTTCAGACCCATATTTTTGAGGAGTGCAGTTTAGCGAAGAAACAAAAGATCTGGAACTTGGCTTGTACTTTTTTTTTTTTAAGGCGGGCGCGAGAACTGTAGATAAATATCTTCACTGTGTCTCCTCATCTGTAAAATGAGATGGTTGGAGCATTGTGTAATTCCTGCCTCCCAGGATTTTGCCTTTTATCATTCTGGCTGAGAAAGAAATCCTTTGGAAAAACGGACCACTTTTGCACTTGGTCTGAGCACATTAATAATGTGGAGTTAAGCTTTCATTGCGATTCATTCGTTGGCATTCTTTGGGTTTATTTACAAGTAGTATTTATGCATTCCTAGTAGACCATTTTAGTTTTGTTAAAATATGAAAGTATTACTTTTTCTTAATCCTCCCTTTCATAGACATTCACTTTACATTTTGCCTTATTTCAGAGTAAAACCCAAAAGTGTATTAAAGTTGATGCTTTTGAATTTTGTGTCATTTTTATCCTTTTTTATTAGTGTTCTTGAAGACATCTGCACCTTCTGACTGGGAAAAGATGGTCAACGTTTTGAAAGGAGTGCTTATAGAATGGTTAGTAGTTTTGATATTTCCTGAGTTTTAAATGTACATATTGACTCTTGATTTATATACTTTTCCTAAGCTCATACCTATTTTGTTCTAAGATCTGAATGAAGTCAAGTCTTTAAACTTTGTCAGCTTCAGTTTTCTTGTTTAACTGGTGGGACAGATTTTGTCACTGTTTTGGGGAGTCCCAAATTTCGGCGCCTCTTAAATTGATGTCCTTCCAACATTTTTTTCCTCAATACTGAAAATTCAACCTGTCAGAGTGATAGGCTATATTTCCCAAGGTTTTTTTATTTTTTTGAGACAGGGTCTTGCTAAGCTGCCCAAGCTGGACTCAAACTAGGAGTCCTACTCCATCAGCCTCCCAAATAGCTGAGATTACAGATGTGTGCCATCACACCTGGCTATGTCCAATGAGTTTTGATCAACAAAAGCATATTTGTTAAATTGATCTTCAGCAGAGAAACAGGGCTGTATTCTCAACCCATCAGAGAGTGACTGGAATTTTAGGGCCTGCAAGAATTAAGGAATTTACAGAAATCTTCATTTCATTACAAACTGGTCTTTTAAAAAAGAAAGATAAGGGCCAGGGATTTAGCTCAGTGGTTTCACTGCCTGCTGCTCCAGCGCAAATGCGAGGACCAGAGTTTGATCCCTGGTACCAAAAAACAAAAAAAGATAGGAGGGCTGAGGATTTAGCTCAGTGGTTTCACCACCTGCTGCGCAAGCACAAGGACCTGAGTTTGATCCCTGGTACCAAAAAAAAAATAAAATAAAATAAAAAAGAAAGATAGGAGGCTGAGAGAGAAGGATTGCTAGTTTTAGGTTGCCCAGGCAACTTAGTGAGATCTTGTCTCAAATTTTTATTAAGATGGGTGGGGGGAGGCTAGGCATGCCTCTCAGTGGCCCTAGGTTCAATCCCCAGTACAGTACCTACTAAGAGACAGAGACAGGCCAGTTAGAGGAGGTTTCTTGAACTCCTTTGCGCACTTTTCAAAGGATGAACTTGAAACCATAATGGACAGAGTTCCTCAAAGCAGTCTAATACATAGAGATTAATCTCCACCCAGTTTGAAATCTGAACTAATTGAATCAAATGTTACTTAGACTTCACTTTTAGCCACATCGGTAATTATCTAGGATCCCTGCCCTGTGGACACACTCATTGTATGAAAATACTGCTGTCTTCCTTTCTGTGCCCCTAATATGATCCATTTCATGGCTGACAGTACTGTTTACTGTAATGGCAAGGCTGCAGAAAGAGGAAGCCCAAACCCTAGGATACCTCTGCAAAATTTAAAGTAGTATTGTCCAATAGAAATAGAAATCAAGGGCCAGGGATTTAGCTCAGTGGTTTCGCCACCTGCTGCACAAGCGCAAGGACCAGAGTTCGATCCCCGGTACCAAAAAAAAAAAATCAAGCCACATATGTAGTCTTAAACTTTCCATTGGCCACATTGAAAAGTAAAATGAAACATGAAATGATTTAGCTCAACATACCCAACATACACATACTAATCTTCAAAAAAAAGATTTAATGGGGCCAGGGATTTAGCTCAGTGGTTCCACCGCCTGCCTCACAAGTGCAAGGACCCAAGTTCGATCCCCAGTACCAAAAAAAAAAAAGATTTAATGCATAGTTTACTTTCACAGCACATTGCACAAAGACTAACTCTATTTCAAATGCTCTGCAATGTCATGTGACTAGTAGGTTATCTTGCAGACAGTGCAGATTTAGATTTTGGGCAAAGGAAATCCCAACAAAGGCAATGAAGAAGCAAATAGCCAGTAAGGTAAGAGGGAAGCTAAGGCAGGATATGTTTCAGAGGTGAGTTGGTTGTGCTGATGAGATGTAGAATGAGATAAAGACAGACTAGAGGCCATTCATTATTTAGTTCTGTTTTAGTGGAGTGGTAGGAAGGCTACCAGTTTAGAATACAGTAGTTGCCCCTTAATCCTCATAGATGCCTGAAACTGCAAGTAGTACCTAACCACAAATTTAATGCCTTGTCCATCTTAACTAAGCATTTATCATGTTCTGTGGCCATAACTTTTGCAATTTCAGATATGACAGCAAAAGTAACACAAATGTTTTTTCTTACTATGGGTCTTAGCAACTTCAGCATATGAATTTTTTATCTTATTATGTCAAGAATTTTCATATAAAGGGAACAAGGAGACAACCATTAAAAAAGAAAACACCTGGTTAACACAAGATTATTTACGTTTAAAGATTAAGACTTGGCACTTCATATCATGACAATTGAAACTGGTGTAATTTGGGAAATTTGGCTATAATGTCCCTAATCCTGATTTCTCTGCAGGTCAGATAAACTTAGTTTCAGTTTAGTGACTTGGAACTTTAGCATGAGTGATTCCATTTTTAATTTTAGCCTGGTCTGTACAGGCGCTTAGTCCAAAATGATGGCCTCCTGCAATTTTTACTTAACAGAGCTCACAATAAAGCAAATAAGCCAGATTGTTATGGTGGCCATTTAGGCTTAGCTTCAGTGAACTGAAAAATCAAGGCACTTGAATGTAATAAAATCCTTTCATCTCAAGACTTATCAGATACCAAAATCTGAGGCTGAGGGACTAGGGGCCCAATAGTAGAAACAGTGAACACGTGAGGCCGCTGGTTCAATCTTTGATATTTAAAAAGAAGGCTAAATCAGAACTTTATAAATTTATAATTTTATATGAAAACAAGGTTAGTGAAAACTTCTCTTTGGGGATTCGACATCAACTGCCAGGCTCAAACCCAGCATTTTCCCACGTCTAGCCAACCACAGCAGTTACTGAAGCAAGCACCATATGCCCATCATGCCTCTGAGTACAATTCCCGGTGCTAAAGCAGACCCCTGTTGTGCAGTTACCAGAGTTGGTTTGGCAAGTACTCCAGTAGAGATCTCTTATAGAGGTACAAATTCCAACTAGTTTATAGCACAGTAGCAAAGAATACGGAAAGTACGTATTAATCTAGCCTGATCCTTCTACAACTATTTTGTATCTAAGAAGCAAATAAGAACTAAGGTAAAACCAGTCTTAACTATTGTGTCCTTCCTTTCCCCTTCCTTAACTCCTCCCTCCCACCCCTACTGAGGATTGGACCAAGGGTCTTAACACTGAACTCTGTCCTCAGCCCTTTGTAAAATTTTTTATTTTGAGACAAATTCTTGCTAAATCCCTAAATTGCTCAGGCTGGGCTTGGATTTGTAATCCTCCTGGGTCAGCCTCCCAGAGTGCTGGGATTACAGGTGGGCACCACCACATCCAGTTATTGTTCTCTTTTACAGTATTTTATGTCTTGTCCACCTTTGCTTCTTAGGAGGGCTATGTTCATTGATGCTTCCATGCATCCAAAACAGTGCCAGATCAGATACAGACACATTCACACACACTGCTTTGTAAGCAGTTCTTTACTGAATGAATTTTAATAGAATCGAATACTAGGTTACTACTGCTTCATTAGAGCTCTTCTAGCCCCACAGTGAGAATTAAGAATGGATAAGAGTGTTAAAGAAAATTTACCAGAGGCCATTTTTAAAATCAAGCTCCTGTACTAGGCCCTGGCAGACCAACCTAAAAACTATATGGAGTTAAGTAGTTGATTTAAAGGCAAGTTAAAGAAAAGCATTAAGTAATTTGGAATGAAAGTCTTGTAAGAGATGATTAAAATAGCAGGAATAATATACAAATTGCAAAAAATTTGAAAGCACTGATGTGATGATTCAGCACAGATTTGAGTCATTTAGGTTTTCATTGAAATGATGTAAATTAATTCCATTTAGAAAATTTCTGTAGATGTTAAACTTCAAAAGCATTTAACCTTTGCTGCCTTTAATACTTTTTGATAGGTTGTTATTCAGAGTAAATTGGCATCACCTGTGCATGCACTTGAGCTCAAACAATAAGATAATATATCACATTTAAATATCAATTTTATAATATCTTGTTTGTCTTTATTACTGTTACATTTGGAGCTAAAGTTTAATTTTACAAGACAGTGATTCATCCTATTGTGTAAGTGTCTTTCCAAGAAAGTGTGATTTTTATAGGCTGCATTGAGGATCTTGGTGGGGCCTGAGATCATCAAGGACTAGTGTCACCACTTAAGTCCTCTCGTCCTTGTTCACTGGGAAAAGAGGTAACAGCTTGGTTATAGAGCACTAAGCTGAGGAGTTTTGTCTCTAGTCCTCAAGCCCTCATATCTGACTATTCCTAAAAATTGCTGTTTTATTCCCTACCCTAACCCCACCTCCTTATTTACATATAGCCAAGGAAAAGTTTTTGAAGAATCTGAGTAATAATGAAACTGGTTTCCTCCTAACGACCCCCTCATTATCCTTTCTGTAATATAATCTGAAAATACCTTATTAAATTGATTGCATAAACCCGTTTCCTTCTAGAATTCCCCTTTAAGCTTTTTGTAATTAATAAATTGTTTGCCTCATTGAGATTTCTCAATGTATAGTTTATTGCTTTACAAAAATTTATTTTTTATTCAGTGTAATTGCTAAAATGAGGGAATTGCTGAAAATGTGAAATTTAATATATTTTGTATCTGCTTAAATCTGTCTTTAAGATCCCATCCATCACCAGCTCGGTTTTGAGATCCTTTTTGTCATTATGCACTTTATGCCTACTTTTCCTGTTTGTCAGTTCCCCTAAAAAGCCACAGAATCCGAAACTATCCCTCATCCTTTGGGCTCTCATTATCTTATGTCTCAGTTCATCCACTTTTAATATTTATCTCCTACCTCCCTCCACAAAGTCCTTTTCACCCTGCCTTCAGAACACAGTAAGATAACAGCAGCAGAACCCTGTACCTTCAGCTTCTTCTCTGAACATTCCCTTTTCCTTCCACAATGCATATCTTGCTCCTAATTGCCACTTTAAGAAATTCTCCCTCCCTCTCCCACACAAAGCCCCTGTTATAAATCTCAGCTCGTCAGACTATAGCACCCACCAACCCTCTTTATAATTGTCTACAAACATTGAATCTT